ACACACACATGAAATACGAAATAACACACACTGCTAGAATCGAGGGAGCTGTATTCGAAGCACCCCTTCTGGCGATCATGACACGGATCACAAGATAATCACTACACATAATTCTTCCAAATTCACAAGAAGAAAAACAACTGCCGAGCAATTCGAAGTCAAAGTGATACAGAAAGGTTTCAGACAAAATTAAAAAGGTACGAAGCATCCATGTATGCAAAAAAAATATTTAGAAATGTGGCCTCTATGCGCGAAGCGATCATCCGCATTTCATTGAACCCAAGTACACGCAGGCCTCTTCATCGCCGACTCGGCTCATGTAATCTGCCCCTACATTTTCTGAACCCTTTATGTGCTTCACAATCCAATGACAACGATGAATATTATTTCAGACAACATCTCATTAGCCTTGAAGGTTACGTTTACGTTTCTATGTACATATACATAACTTTTATCCGCGCTCGAGGTGGTCGCGCTCTTGGGGGAGCCGTTCGAAACAAACGGGGCAGACAAAAGCGTGTACGGCCGCTACACGGACGCCTGTTTCCCGTTGGTCTACACCTCGGAGGCATGCCTTCGTCGTCACCGCGTTCTATGGAAACTGGTCTCCGAACCATGTCGTGTCGCTCGGCCGAAAGGCGCTGCCTCGCAAGGCGCCCCGCGCTTCGAGCAGGACAATGGAGCGAAGGGGGTCGGCTCTTCCGAGCTCCACGAACAAATGCCTGCCTCACCCCTCTATCTGTCGGGCGGTTTGAAGCATAGGGACCCACTCGACTGGCGAATGCCACAAAACGCAAACGAAGCTTTCGTTGCCTCGATTGCTGTTTGGCAATTAGCGATTTTCCGGCAACCTTGGTTTTCCTTTTGCTTGTGCGGCGTCTTTTTCTTTTTGGACGTTGTCCAGTGCTCACTTTTGAGAAGTGCGCTTGCAACATTTGCAGAGCAGAACTGGTCTCGCCTGTCTCATCGGCTGTAACGTCTATACAGTCGGGATTTTCTGTTAATTTGTGGACACCCTGACTTGCGGGAAACTTGACCGACGGCTGAACAATGCAAGCGTCTTCCTCAGGGCTGCGCCGCTCGCACCTGGGAGAACTACTTGCCCCAACATTGCCCAGCTCGCAGTGTGCGTCGGCACACGCCTCTGTCCCGCCGTCTGTACAGGGGTCCTTGTCTGCCGGGCCGGTTGTACTGTGAACATCACAGTTAGCTGCCATGGCGACGCCCATACAGGGTGGCTGTGCCAAGTCAATCACAGATGGCATTTCTGTATCGACAAGACTTTCCAGGCACAGCGCCTCGTCGCCATCACTGCGGCCTTCAGTGGCCTTTGTGGCCACAACAGGACTTTCTGCAGCTAACTCAGTAGGTTCACTCGCGAACCTGGTGTCCGCCTCAACAGTACACAATTTTTGCCCGGCTCTCAGTGGTTTGGCACCTACGGTCTCTTTGCCCCCTTTGTGCCTTGCATCCCAGGCCTCAAACATGCGCCGTCTACCTTCCATTTTCTGGCGCAGTAGCTGAACATGATCCTGGTAAGACTGCCTGTTCGTGACACGGTCGGTCACGCTACTGGGCGTTCTAGTGTCTAAGCTAAGACCCGACTGTGCCACACACAGTCCCAAGCGCTCTTTTTCCTTCAGAATTCTGTGCCTTGAATTTTCTCGCTCCTGTTCCATCAACAATTCCAGATGTTGCCTGTACCTAATGCGTTCGGCATCGCGCTCCTCTTTAAGTCTATTTCGTTCTTTTTCAACGAAATTATATAACTCCTTGCCTACAAAGCCAAAGGCTTTGCCCTGTTCAATAAGCCTGTCAAACACCGTGTCGTTCATTGCTATACACAGTTGTCAACCAACAAAGCAATAACAGACCGGCTACACTCTGAACGCTCAGAGCTACGTCAGTCTCCCAGACATCACCACGTGGTCGGCCAGTCCTGTCGCGGACGCCAGATAATGTCACGCACTTCGGGTGAGGCCCCGCCGATCCAACATCGATGTGCGGCAGACTCGCAAGCTTCCACTTTACGTTTCGGCCTGCGACGCCTGAAAGGCCTCGAAGTGGCACATTTCGAATTTATTTGCGGGTTGGTCGACTCATGCGGGGTTGCACGTGTGGTGATGTGTGGGCCTGACCGACGCACTCATAAGCAGACACGGAGTTTGATTACACATAAACAAGTATTTAATTGAAACAATGGCATGGGCAGGAGATTACAAAAATAACAAAGGGAGGAAACTGATACGCGCGGTAGGAACAACAGCTGTATAACAAAATGTGCTAAAAAGCATTACAAAAGATACAGACTAAAGACAAATATGCGGAACATTAATAAATAACAACAAGATGGAAATCAAGGGAGAGAGACACTAGAAATTAATTACAGAATGATCATGGTGGCGCTTTAGAATTTAAACGTGCGACGCAGCGCACACTACAAATATTAAAAAAAAAGGCTGGTTAAAACAAGTTTACGGTTTAACAAAAAAGTCACAATAAAAGTTCCATACGGACCAAACCAGCCCTTGGTGCACGTAGGGGAGTTGACGGGTGCCGCTGAAGGTCTCGCCGGCTTGGTAGACGACGAGGGTGCCCGGAATTGCAGCCGTCTCAATACGTTGCGCGGGTCACTCCGTGCTCGCCGCCTACGCGAGACTCGCGACACCGACGACCGCACTTGTTGCTGTCTGTACGTCAACTGCTCTTCCGATGCAGTTCAAACCTCTTCAGGGGCGTCCACGTGCTCCCATCTCATCTGGGAGTAATTTTCCTTGTTGAGACCGCCGGTTCCCCTTCCGGTCAGGGGCAGGGAAGACGATCCGGCGCCACGCTGGGTCGTTATAGTCGCCGGATGTCGTCTCCCAACACAAAAACGCCCTTCCTTGGAAGATGGGGCCCGCGGATGCTCCGAAAGTTGGAGTCGTTTGTGACATTGTGCTATAATTAACGTTTCCATGCGTTGCGCATGAATGGTAAACTGTTGCTAAGGTAATTATGAAGTAACTTCATTGATTTTCAATAGTAATACTAATTTAGCGTCAGTACTTAGGGTGAGCTCTACATTGTAACGTAGTTAGGTCATATTCACAAAAAAAAAAACTGGATAGTCATTATTGATGTAACCCAACTACTTTTAACCATATATACTGTTGTCATTTCTGAATTTTTGATTCACTATTGGGGGCGCGTTCATCGTAACCATGAGAGACTACGTTAGATAGCGCAACAGGGGCGTAGTCAGAGAGTGAGAAACGAGCAAAAAAGGAAGGCAGGGAGGTTGACCAGTTGCTAGTATCCGGTATGCTACCCTACACTGGGGTTGGGGATTAGGAGGTTGAAAGAGAGAAAGCAAGAGTTAAAATTAAATAAGACAAAAACACGAACACACACGAAAATTTTTAGGGGAAGGGGGGGGGTGAGGTGCCAACTACTTGATCTGAAGCGAGGGCCCGGCAGGCAAATGGTCCTGACGAAAACAAGTTCGGGCTGAGGGAGCACGTGTACGGTGTGCCACCCCCTCGCAACGCCACTGGTAGAGCATTCATTTGCCAAAAAGTAACTCGTTCTTTACGCGTGCAGTCACGCTGATTTTGCTGCATAGTAGTTAATTGCGAAACCGCTGGGATAGTTGCGGTTCTTCTGGGTCCACAAACGCTTCAACTATATCTAGTGGTCTACACGTTTCGGAAGCTTTGTTCGAATTGAAATAATAAATACTTTGACGAACAACAGCGGGTCTTTGGAAATGCTGCTTAATACGCGGATTCGTGGACGTCCCAATGCTCGAGATGTTTATTGCGCACGCTTCGAAGGAAGTGTGTAAGCCTGTAGTATACTTACATCTTAACATTGGCATAGAATGGCGAAGCCACTTTATTCCCGAACACAGCCATATATCCCCTGCAACCCCCTCCCCGCCCATAGGTTTTTTTTTTTTCATGTTATGCATGCGGATATGCATACCTATCGGTTATCTTTCCGTGGCTTGCTGCATTGTCCTTAACATAACAAGCATACGTTTCGCAAGCCTCCAGTTTGCTGTCGCATAGGCAAGTATCGGTTTGTTGCATACACCTTTGTCTTGAAGGAATACGTTTAGCTGAGATGACGTGAATGCTGCAAGCGTAAGGAAATAGTTTATAGAAACATCGAAGAGGCAGTTGCCATGCAGTGGGCATAATACAGGCTGACGATGGCGACGATGACGACAATGATGCTGATGATGATGCTGGTGCTGATGCTGATGATGGTGATGATGATGATTATGATGATGATGGTGGTGGTGGTGGTGGTGGTGATGATGATGACGGTGGTGGTGATGATGATGATGACGACGACGATGATGATGATGATGATGATGATGATGATGATGATGATGATGATGATGATATACACCAACACACACACAAATACATAAGTAGTAGAACCCTCCCCCCCCCAAAAAAAAATTAAGCTTTTCACACCCCTGCATTTTAAGGTTACACTATCTAAAATGTTAGTCCCTGAAGACAATCATCCCTGTACTCGCAATTGTCGTGACTTACGTCGGACGGCTGAAAAGCGAGCTTTCGTCAGTGTTTCCGCTCCCGCAGATACATTCGTTTTTTTTACTTTTTTTATCCTTATTTTCGTCGTTCATTCGGAACTATACGTGTCAGGGTGCCCGACGTAGCGCGCGTGGGGCACTTGCATCCGCCTCATCCTGCAAGAAAGCAAAATATATATACATAAATAAACAACGTGAGTATATCACGAAGTCTCGAAGGCGGACCGAGCCGCCACGCTTTGAACACGGAGCGAAAACGACACGACTTCTTCCGTCATTGACCCCAAAACGTGAATGTGCTCTCTCAACTACGGGCGCGCGTTTTTTGCGTTTTCCCTTATATTTCTTCGTTATCACGAGCATATGCCGTACTTCGTATGCCTATGCGTGAAGTTGAGACGCTTATGCTTGTATTTATCTCTTTTCTTTTTTTTGTTTTTTCTGCCCGCAGCTCGAAGACATTGATGAAACGGATAAGCTGTCTGGAGACCGCATCGCTACCTTCATGTTCTACGTAAGTCTCTGACCAACCTCCGTCGTTCGCTGCTTGAACATCCCAGACACGTGGAACGAAAGTGGGCCGCCGCGCTTCACTTTCGTCGAGCCGTCCGCCATGTTTTTTCGCCAGTTTCTTTCTCCTTGCTTGCTAGCTTGCTTTCTGTCTTCCTCTATTTCTTTCCATCCAACAAAACGAACGAAAAATGCACAGGCCATCACAGTTATGAGCCTCTTCGCTAGAATGAAAAGCTAGCCTGCACAACGGAAGTGGCACACAACGACGCTATTGCGGCATACGTTACCGAGGAAAAAAGGAAATAGTAAAAAAAAATAGCGTACTGTGAAGGATTATTACGTAATTTGTACTTGTGGGTAATACGAAGCACTGGGGGACTGGATAGGACTTCTATGGCAACTTTTAACACTAAAAAGGCTACACAAAGTTAGTTACATGCAGTTAATTTAGTCATTGCCGAAGATGATATCGTCTACTCTAGATATCTGGACGTGACCATTAAAGCTTGCTCGAAGTAAGTGGGTGGTGTTATAGATTACAAAGCGAGCACACCTATCTGTACAATGAATATCACAGATCAACCAAGTGAATCCTAAACCTATATATGTTTTTCCTGTTTTTTAAACATTGACCTTTCTTTATCACACACCGTACGCACAAGTTTTTTATTCACTTCATCATCTTAACGTGATCGAGGAACAGTTATGCGTAATTGCTGACAGGGAAAGTAGGAGCTTCCCAAAAAAAAAAAAACAAGTGCCCATGTCGATACGCAAGCCACATGACATTCGCTGCGCAAACAGAGTTACTTCCACTAAATACTCACGACATTCTGTTCAATGCACCGTCTCAACAGCGTCTGGGAATTATACTTCGTAATTACCTGTATCTCGCGTTTCGTTACAATTGCACGGATTGAACTCTTATCTTTGAATCGTCGTTGCGACTGCTTTGCCTCGTTAATGCAGATTTTTTTTTCCATTTCCTCTTCGACGGAGCAGCTTTCAGATGTGAGTTTGGGAGGTTCGACTGTGTTCCCCTACGCCAAGGCGGGTGTCTCCCCGAGAATGGTAAGTGTCAATCGATCGGTACACCTCGAAAGAAAACTGTTGTGGAAGCCTGTTATGCAACCAAGTCGCACAGTCTTAAATACTAGATAACGCGAGATTCGACGCAGCGAATAGAAGGAACAGTGATACACGGGTTTAGCGCTTGTCCTGTGTGTCACTGTTCTTGTTTTTTCCTGTTTAGAATCCGCGATATTATCTATTCCAGTCTACGAGCCGATTGTCGTGGCAGTGAAATTTTTGTTCAAGGGACCCTGAAGTGGTTTATACGTTTGCGTACAAACATATTGGGCCCGTAGACCAACTCCCAAGGGTTATTTAGAGACCGACTTGAGATCTCTGCATAAACTGTGTAACTTACAACAACGCTTTAGAGCTTCGAAACACCGCAGATCGCTGGGACTCGACCAAACGCGTTTTCAGCCGCCCAATAACAAAGTGGCATATTCTGCCCACTTGACGTCACCGTGGCTGTTGATCTGATTGGCTGTAGAACGCGCGGCACAGGCCAGTGAAGGCAAAGCTTAGCCCCGAGCGCTCGAAGGAAAAGTTCAGGTAGATGAGGATGAAAGGCGGAGCATAGGAGAAGGGTACCTATTTATTACTCGTAACTTCGTTAACAAGGAGTGTTTCGATTGAATTATGTTGTCGATGGTTAGCTCCAATAGTGGTCTGATAAAAAAAAAGTCACAGCTTTGCCGCAAGGGCGAAGCAATGAACGCGATAGCAACAAGTTGGAAGGTCACGCGCAGAATGGCGAGTAAACCGAAACGTGCCCCGCGTCTTTCTCGCACACAAATGACGCACGAAACGTACTTCCAGGTACAGATGAACGCGAATAAGCGTCTCAGTTGTTAAATCGCTGTGTCTGAAAAGCTCGCCCCTTTTCGCAAACGGAGACTGTGTAGCGATTGCAGTGACCTTTGTGCGCGCCGTAGCTACAACAGAATCGTTCCAGTCAAGCCCGACGCCAGCCAAGACGTATGATCCTCTACACAGAGAGATGAGGGCGCTCGAGAGATTGCCCTCTCCGCTCCTCTCAGTGGGTGAAAGTACGCGTGAGAGATGAGCCGCCGCGCGCTCTTTGCGCCATCTTGCTGATAATGCTGAAAATGCTGAAAACACGATAGCCCCCCCCCCCCCCCCCTCCCCGCTGAGATGCTATAAAGACCTTGCCGTTGGAACGTTGCAGAAGAAAGCGTTGTTGCAGACTTTTGACCCCGTTCCGGAGTGGCTTCCCGTTCTTGACGCTTGTGTGTGTTTGCCTGACTTCTGATGAAGTTTGTTCTGTGTACTTTACTGGTGATGATTTCATTCATCGAAGAAAAAAAGCAATCGGTGGCTTAGTGGTTAACCCCTCGCATTCACGGTGCGGAGGTCCCACGTTCGATTCCGTGCGTTGGTTATTTTTTCTGCAATTTTTTTCTTTTTTGCATATTCATATGTATAGATACGTATACATTTACTGTGCATGACATCAACGCCGACGGCAAAATCCAGCCGAGAGTGTCCATATATATAATTGCTATCGCAATAAAAGGAAATGTGAGGAAACTGTTTCATGGACTTCTTAAGTTACAGTTATACACTGAAACAAAACGCACAGGTATGCTAAGCATAGGCAAAGTGACCACTCATGCAAAGCAGCTAGCAGTGTAAGAAATGGTTTTCAAAGAAATTCATGAAATATTGTCACACGTCATTTCATCTAGAGCATGTTTGCAAATATCGAAATCATCTTTAGAAACCCCTCGCTGGATTTTTCTTCATACACCTTGCCGTAGTGAAGGAAGTCTCGAAATCTGTCGGCACAAAGTCGTGTTTGAACGTCAGACGAAATGGACAGAAGTTGAAATCGCTGCTTATGCTCGTACGCCTCTCCTCGCAGGGTTCGGCTGCCTTCTGGTACAACATGCGCGAAGACGGCAGCTACGACGTGCGAACCTTGCACGGCGCATGCTCCGTGCTACACGGAACGAAGCACGGTACGTATGAGCCTGTCACTAACCTCTCCCGTTGCGCTCTTATTGACGTTAGCGCGACATAATATTTCTCATTCTCTTTGCTGTCGCAGTGGCCAACCTATGGATTCGAACCAACGGCCAGATGTTCCGCCGGCCATGCCCGGCGACGCAACGGAGAAGGACGCTAGATTCAACGAAGCTGTGATAGTTTGTTATACCTGTGTTATTCCATTTCTTTGTTCCTGCCGCTATTTGTTCCTCCTTTGCGCATCTTCATATCTTCGCGTTATTTTATTTTTATTTTTTCGTTGGGAACGACGGGTCGTCCCTATTAGCGTACATTGTTTTTTTAATAAAATGAAAAAAAAGCCAGAGGATCGTTTATGTAAGGCATGCGCACGGCACCTTGATGGTGTTGAAGAGATGGTCAAGGAATGGCCTGGTGTTCTAATACAGCGCACGTAGCTTTCAGTACGGTTAAAATACAGAGGACGCTTTGCGCAGTATATCACACACGTCGCCTTGAGGAAGCAATGCATAGACAAGTGTTGTAGTTTGCACCATCTTTTACTGTGATGCGTTAAAAGCTTGTTTGCAAATACAGTACAACCACGTATGCACGAATTGGTCTCTGTGCACGCTTTCTTTTTTTCTCTCATCTCTTCATAATTCAATGTGAATTGATCTTTCAACGAAACTGATACCTTGCTCCGAAACGGCGCTTTTTACGATGGCCACAGTTACTCTGACACGCAGGTAAGAATGCATCTTTGAGAACTACATATCGCCTGCCGCCATTTCTTAATTTCTGAGCAACAGGTATGTATAGAAGCGGTGTGCTCACGAACGCGTCATAGTGTCTCAGACGTGCTGCGATATGCTGCTGTAGCTATTATTCGTTTGTATAAACAAAAAACACAAGAGACAGAGGGAATAGGGAGGGCGTAAAATGACGATTGCCACCTTTATGGGCACAAAGCCTGTCTGCTCCTTCGGAAAGGGGAGACACAGAGGTAAAGAAGGCAAGAGGAAAAAAAAGACAAAATAGGAAAGAAAAACGCACGTGAACAAAAATAAACAGATGAAAAAAAAAATACTGTAGACCCGATGCTATATCACCTACAGTAAAAACTCCATGTGAATTCGCCTAAGACTCCTGGAGGGCGCAAACTATCTTGTTTTGCTCATTCTTCGCTGTGGAATGTACTTATCTTCATTCCCTTTCCTCCCCCCTTCCTTAAAGCTTTCTGCAACCCATGTGGTGTTTCAATTTCCCTGCGATTGGCCGCACCTTGAATAAGTGATGACGTCATATGCTGGCGTCAACTGTGATTCCTTGACTGTTACGGCCACTTCGTGTAGACGCACCAACGAATCCAGGCCGCGGCTGCTGCATTTTCGATGGAGGTGGAAATGGTGTAGGCCCGTGTGCTTAGATTTGGGTGCACACGTTACAGAACCCCTAGTGGTCAAAACTTGCACAGACCATCACTACGGCGCCTTTTATAATCGTATGGTGACGTTGGGACGTTAAACCGCGACAATCATACGATCGTGTGAACGCCGACGGCACCGATGGTCACTTTTCTCGTTTAACAAGGCGCTACAAGGGCTTTCTCTTAATACATCTCGTATGATGTGCGTTGTACTACCTGCAGCCTGCTATGAATGACCTAGATATCATATAGATTCACAATAGGGTCCAGAGTGCACAACGCGAAAAAAAAAGGGGGACTGGCATAAATAAGGAACTATGCATGCAAATGAAATAATTCAATTTGCTCAATATTTTACCGTTGCACATTGCGTAGATGCACCAGATAAAGTACGCTCATAACAATGTTGTGTACATCTGGGCAACGTAAATAAATAAATAAATAAATAAATAAGCGACGACACACAATCTGTGCCGAACTTTTATGGCAACGCATCAAAAACGACGATGTCTTCGTATTGTGGCTCTGCTCACCTCTATGCGCTCGTTAAAATATTTATTGGAAATGAAATATTTGGTTTCTAGTAAATTGGGAAGATGAGAGCAGTATGCGTACGCTTTGTACCAATGCCGCTCAGAAAAAAAAAATTTATTGACAGGTCCAGAGGCACGGCCACTAAGACCTTCACTTCGAAACAATAACGAGTCGACCGACTATTGAGCACGAACGAAGGAAGGTGCACTTCAAATCATGCCTGTCATTATTTAGAGTTAGCAACTGAGCAGCCGGTCGATGAGACTTTTGTTTGATGGTGTGTTTAATAATTATCGGGTGCATACTTTCATTATCTCCACAACACCTGTGCACGTGTTTATTGAAGGTTACTCATGAGCTCCCTAACTGCAGCATTGTAATTATCGATTCCAATTTGTCGACGCTCCTACACATTCATGCACTTCGAACGTGCATAATTGATTTCATAATTATATGTAATGAAGGTACTTTGTCGCGTGAGATGCGTATCTGGTAGCGATATAAGCCAATCTAGAGCGAGCGACATCAGGGTGGACCAGCACATTTTCTTTTGTATAGTCACAGTGGCTTAATCAGACGTTATTTAGAACTACTCGTAAACACACTTACCCGAAGGGCTGAAGCATTGTGCTTCGCAGATACGCTCGCTCGATTTCATTGCCAGACAAGGGCACTTTTCTTAACATAGTCCATATAGACTCCTGTCACCATAGGCTGCGTTCATCAAAAGACACGTCAGGAATCTCAAGAGGCGGAAATACTCGAAAAAACATATAGGCTTTGTATTCCAGAACAGGCATAATTTATTTTCAAGTTTGTCAGAAAGTATACGACCCCCTGGAGCCCTCAAGGAAGACTCCGTCACATCCGGTCAATAGGAGCTGTGCTCAAAGCCCGTTGAGTCTACACGCTCTGGACTGCAGCGACCGATGGATGACCCTCCAGAGCGTTCGGCTCCCGTAACGTGGGGACGCTACTTCATCCTCATGATCGTCGACGTTATAGCGGCGTACCAGTTGGTTCTTCTGACGATGGACGTATTCTTCGGGTCCACCATAACGCCTTCTTTCGCCCACCTTCAACTTCTCACCAGTTACGTTGCGAGCGCGCTAAGCGGTCACATCTTCATGTCGTCGATCGGCAAGCTGCGGCCCCACCAGCATCCGTGTCACGCCGTTGACAAGACTACGAGGAAAGGCAAGATGGAAATGCTGAGTCTCAGCAGGACTCTCCTGGTCTCTTCCTTCATCGCCTTCGGCATCCTCGACGTGTGCGCGCAGTCATTCAAGCCGTTCAAGTACGCAAGTCTTATGAGGTCCCGGAGACCAAGCCCTGCAGTCAGCAGCGTTGATGCCAGCTCCAACACTAACTTCAACACCAACTACAACTTCAGCGCCATCGCATCACGCATGTTTTTTACGATGTTAGCCAGGCGGTCCATGTATTCGGGCGGCAAGTTTTCTCTGACGTCCAGACAACTAGTGGACCTCGCTTGCTTCTACACCACAACGCTGCTAAAGCTGGCAGTCATGCTCAACTACGTGCGTCTGGTGGAAGACGCCCAGACGGCCATTCGTAGTCTGGCCCCCACTTCGAGACGGCTGGGAATCGTCACCGCCCAGGAAGTCAGGGAGCTCGGCGCCGTGCTCGTCGACGTCCTCAAGATGGTTCACTCTCTGGAAGCGGCTTTCTCTCTCCTGGTGCTCGTATGGTACGCGGAGCTCATGCTCGCCATCGTGGCGTCTGTAAACATCGGTCTCAGGTGAGCCGGTTGTGAAGCCTTGTTTGAACTCCGCTGGACAAGACATGCACTTACTTTACCAATAAAGAATTCCGAGGGACTAACTCAATGACTAGGTATTCAACGAGCAAATGATATCATTAGGTTTAATTAAGTTCAGTTCATTCCACATGTTGATTTGTGCTAGGATTCACCGTAAGGTTGCCGGTAAAGCATCTCCAAGGACTGCCTCTTCAACCATTGCAATTGCTGATGCGGGTAAGCTTACAAGTAGTTTAACCTTTCGTTTCAGACACATGATATCGGGGTAGTCTATTTAAAGATTCCTGTATAATTCTTCTTTGTGAAAAACTTCCATGAGTGGTGTTTCAAAACCATCATCCATGATTATCGCGTGCTTACCTGCCCTACTGACTCATCCCAAAGCAGTCGGCGAACATCCGCCGCAGTTATATTAGTTGGCTCTAAGAAAGACCGCTGGACGGAGCGCTTTTGTCATCACGAACTTATACCAACAAGCCAAAATTGCAGTTATCCTGACTGAAAGAGACATTTTGTGTGTATCATCCATGGTTGCGGCCATGACTCTTTATTAGGTGCACTTTCATGGTCGAATGCGGTGGCGCGAAGTGTTTGAAAGAAAGCCGCTTTAGAACGGCGCACGCAAGGTTTCGCGTTTGCGTTGAGCGTGCGTCGTGCGCCAACCTCTTGCGGCTTCCCGCGACGCCCGCAACGCTGCGTCCGCAATACCCGCAAGTTTTTCGTACAATATTCCAAAGATCTCTAGTATCTTGGGATAGACTGAAAAATACGGTTGAAACACCGTTTCAGCTTAGCTAAACTCCCACGTATCAGTGCAGAGGCTCCAAGCTCTAGCTATGGTGTCTTTCACCCCAACTAGAGCCTGGGAGGTGATTTAGACTCCTACCAAACGTTTTGAAGAGACCCGAAGTTTCGAAACCGACTTGGTTCCTTCCTCAGGGGTGACTGCGGAGACTACGTAGCAGCGGCGTCTTCAGACTGCATGAGGTGTCTTCCTTAATGTGTATGTAGCGCTTGACAAGCTGCATGGTATCGTGTCCGAAGTCTTGGCTGATATACTTGAATGTAAGCATTCGACAAAAGTCTGTCCGGTTGGGTACATGAAACTGGGAGATGATTTAGACTCCCGGTATCATACCCATCCAGACAGACTCCTGTCGAGTGTTTACACTCAACTAGAGCCTGTGTCGTTTCCTCTTGACGCAGCTTCGTCCAGAACAGCCGCTCCTTCTGGGTGAACGGAGTACGCCTGCCACGCAACGTCTACCTTCTCTCGGTGTACGCGCTGCTCTCGCACCGGCTCTGCTCGGTGCATGGCGAGGCCCGAAAGATGGCGGCCACCCTGGGTCACGGACTAAGCAGCCGCGTGGACCCGCGCCGCGGAGCTGTGTGCGGCGCTGTCAAGATACTGCGACGCTGCGCCTCGTTGGGCGAGGCCTTCACACTCACCGCGCTCGACTCGTTCGACCTGGACGACCGTTTCTACGTGAACACGCTAGGCTCGGTCATCATGTACGGCGTGATCCTGCAGCAGCTCACCACCGCTGCTGGCTAACCGGCCG